TTAGAATTCGGTAGTGCCTGCTTTGATTCCACATATTCCTCAAGTAAAGAAGGAGCAAAACCACAACTGCAGTGCCCAGGGCTGGATCCTATCCAAGGAATATTGACAGCAGAGGGCAAGTTCAGGTGCTAAAAGAAAGCAAAAGTATACAATGTTCTGAATTAGAAGTGCATGAAAAACCTCCTATTGGTGTCAGTAAGGGAGAAAGCAGGGCAAAACGAGATGAAGATGTCTTGTCTGGGGAAAACTTAAAGGCTTTATAAACAGCAAAAGTGAGGGAGATAATTATAACTCTAATAGTGTATGGCTCACTCAAAAACTGGATTATCTCTACTGAGGACAGATTTGGAGAAAGGCATTGGTTCCGAGGAGCAGAGAAGCACTTCCAGTTATAAAGGCAACTAAAGCCACTGACATTGTGTTGCCCAAGCAGCATACACATCTACTGAGATCCTGCACAAAGACTCTACCCTCTAAACTACTGAGGATTGCAGAAACTCTTGCAGACAGAATTAAAGAAGAAAATGAAACAACTCCTGCCTGTTCGGCTGGAATATGAAATATTTACAGAACACGGCCAATGTGGAAAGAAGGAAAATAATGCATGAGGGACCAGTTAGTATTTGTAGGCAAAATGAAGGAATCAGAATAATGGTTACAAGCTGAGGCTGAATGGATCTTAAAACACAGATTGCAAACAGAAGTTTAATTGCCAACTTCAATTAAAGCAATGAGTGACTTGCAATTGCACTGTGATACCTGTGCAGGAGGGACAGAGGGTTCAAACAGAAAGCACAAATCCCAGTGCTGGCGAGTTTTAACGTGGGAAACAGCCTCAAACTGCTCATAGTTTTTAGTCCTGTGGAAAAGCTTGTTGAAATGGCAAGTGACCAAAATTACAGCAAGTTGCAAGCAAATTGTATGGGAACTGCTGAGTCACGGCCTGAACCTCTGATTGATCACCTGAGGTGAGCCTTGAGTCAGCCAGAGGAGCGCAGGTGAAGGCAATTCACCTGTGCTACCGGAAGGGGTGGAGCCTGGCTGCAGCCCTCCTGGACCTATTTAAGAGCTGGCTACCAGAGGGGAAGGATCTCTTCTGGAGATCCTCCTCTTTTGGTATCTTCTAGTGAGCTCAACTCAAGGGTAAGCTCTTCTACTTATTCTTTTTTGTGATCCTTGTTTGCTTTTGCCTTACTCTTTTGATTATATTGCGATTATAACATCTTGGTTATACACAAATGCAGAAAGTTCCTCATCACTTCATGATGGCAATAAAATGGACTTCATGACCCTCCAGGTGAGTATTTCCAGGTTAATAGTATAGAATCGCTAAACTGTTTAATTTGGAGGAAATAAGTGAAATATTATTTTACCCTCCTTTCTGGTAAGTGGAATGAACAAGACTGAAAGTGGAGTCACAGCGTCATTTTGCAACAGGATTATCACGGACTACTTAGAAAGGTGAAACTGAGGAAAACCTCAAGATTTTAAAGACACTGGTGTAGAACTGCTGATTTCCCTGAGTGGTAGTAGTAAGAAAAAAAACTCAGAAAAAAAAGTAATGCATGCTTCTCCTCTCAGCCACTGGTGATGGGGTCATGCCGTATGTGGTGGAAAATGGCTGGGAGATATTTGGCAGTGCTGACAAAGCGTGAAGTGTCTGCAGTCTACACAATATTATAACTTCAGCCCAAAACAGAAATAAACTAAGCTCCTGTACAAGGCAGCAGTGGTATTTCAGGATGGCAGTAAAAGGCAGGAAAACAGAAATTTTGCTTCAGAAGAAAGTGATCCCTGTATTTTGCAGAGCACAAGAAGTCCCAGTGGGGCCTGTGATCTGGAAACTGTTCCAGATGCTGCTGAAGCCAGAAAAGAAATTGCTTATCATCAGCTACTTATCAGCACTTCTTTACATCTTTCCCATTGCCCTTCTTCCCATCCAACAGAAGCAGTCCCCTTTTTGTTTGTTCCACCTCTTCAACTGCTCTCTATCCAATTCTATAAGACTAGCCAGTTAGGAAAGAGTCAAAACCAATTCTACAATTAATAAATCAAAGAGCACCTCTCTAAAGAGGGAAGGATAGGAGGACAGGTGACTAAGCAGTATGTGAACACAACACACTGCTTTATATGGATGCATCATGGCCACCTCTTGCACAACCTACTTGTAATTAGGGCTGACTGGATTATTTTGCAGATCCAGGCTGAGGACAGCCAGCTATCTGTCAGGCAGCTCAGCCACCTCAGCTCAGCAGCACATGGCATGGCCACTGGGAAAGGTGGGCAAGGCACATCATCCCAAACATCAGATCACATCCAGCAGGGCACAAAAACAGGTACTGTCTTTCCAAACAGGCGAATGGCCATAAGGAAACAGAACAGAGCTGAGCATGTATAAACTGATGGCAGGATTGCTCAGTAATGCCATATGGAGGCCAACTGGGATAACAAAGATGTTGGTCTTACTGACTGGTGGCTGGCAATTCTGCACTGTTGGAAATTGCTTTCAGGTGGAGACCAGGGACAGTAATAAAGATTTTGCTAACAGAAGCAAGGGTGTCACATAACTGGGTAGGTCTATTCATTGCTGTGCCACCAGGTATCACTGGTACATCTCAGGTGCAAAATTCTGCAAGGGTGAGAAGATATCTAACCCCCTATTTTTCCGTTTCTTAGCCTTTCTTTTTTCCTTTTGTCACAATAATTTAAAACCTCACTTGTAAATCTGTTTTGAATATGTGGCAGGGAGAGGCACAAGGCAGCAGCTTCACAGAGTCTTATGGACCATGCTTCTTACTATCTTGCTCAGAAGTGTTTTTCACTATTAGGCAGAAGAGTTTGTCCTGAATGCAGATAAATACTGGCTGCTACTAAACCAACAGGCATGCTGAGTCTCTGCTGAGGGATACTGTACCCTCCCATTGTTCTTAATGTAGTGCTGAATTCATGTTTCTACTTAGAACTGAGTTGACTAAGTGTTTACTAAAGCCATCTGCTGTTCAAAAGAAAGGCAGATAATTTTATGATGGTCCTATGCTAATAAATCAAACACACAGACAGGAAGGCAATGACAAGCTAACATATGTATGCTATCTAATAAAACAAACAAAATATTAGCAAAGTAATACTATCACCAGCATGACTCCAGACATGTTCCTGCTGTCTTTCATAAGCCCTGGTGCTAGACAGGGCTTAAAGGACTAAAGACTCCTTACCTCCCCAAAAGTCACTCTGAACAACAGTGGAATAGTGAGGAGATTACAAATGGAGATGCTGCTGGAATAAAGGCAGAGATCCAAATCACCCCTCCTCTCTTTGGGTCTTCCTATCAAATCCAAGCCTGCCACGTTCTACTACACATCTGGAAACCCTCCCATCCCATCTCCCTTGTCAGGAACATCACTTCCCCCCCACAGCACCAGCCATGACCTGCCTCATCTGCTGCACAAACCAGCACCCACACATTCACCAGTGAAGCAACCATGGTCACCTTCTCTCTCTTAATCCACAGACAGCTTCTGTCTCAGCAATCCTGCCATTACTTAGATGACTTGTGGGCCTCCCTGTGAATAGGACTTTCACAACAGATGTTTTCACTGATGTTTTAAAAAGCAAAAGAAGCCATGAGATCAAAATAAATAATCTTTTCTCATCGAGGTAATGGTACAAAAGGTGAAAAATTCTCTTTTGTTCAAATTCATTCATTGAAATTAGTCCAACTTGATGTTCAAAGAAGGCCTGTAAAAACCACTTTTACTGTTTGTGCTGTTTAGCAGGGCAGCTATTTTTCCCTTTAACTACTGAAACAAGGCTGCACAGATTATACCATTACATAGTGGTGAATCATCCAGTTCAATGGACTGATCTTTACAGGATGCTCTTTTGCTGCTACTCACCAGTGGCTACTGTTAAAGTTCCTGTTACAGCTCAAACACATCGTGTCTAACTAAGAAATGAAACTGCCTAAGAGTAAGCAAGCTAAAAAGCACCTGGTATGCTGAGGACAGCTTTCCAAGTAATACTGGGCACCTATTTTCAAGGAAGGTCATTTCCATTAATAACTACACATGGTTCTTCTTCTGCTCAAAAATTTGAGATAAATTCCTTAAATTACTCTTCAATGATCAAACAGTGAAGTCTGACTGTGATTTTCTGGGAAGAAATAAAATGAATGCGAAAAAGAATAACAAAGGCAACATTTTTAGCTCATTCTGGTTTCGACATAGTTGTTAGAAGAAACTTCTTATTTTTCTAGTGCTACTGGGCTTCTTTAAGCTATGAATAATGTTTAAGCTACCTTACAAGAGTCTATGATAATCGAAGGAGCCTTTTTTGTGTGTGTTCTCTGAATCTGGCCTGTAAAGAACATAACAAAACTCCCGTTATGGTGACACAGGCATTTTTCCTCCAAGGAAGTTTACAAAAGCTGCATCTCCAGTTACAGTAACCTTACCTAGGATCCCAATTTAGAACATCTCCCTCCCCACTGATGTCAGCAAAAATACAAGATCAGAACATTAGAACAGTTAAGTTCCTCTTTGGAATAAAGGACATCACACACATGCACATTCCTGTTCCAAAGTCTATTGTAGTCATTGGAAGGTTTTTCAACAGTTTCACTGAGCTCTGGACCACACAATATTTAACACGACTGCTGCAACTTGATTTAACTCAACAATTATAAATCCAGTAAAATGTTCAAGACCCAAACCTACTGATCTCTGTTACAATCTTCGTCACTGATGTCAGTGACCCCTAATTATGTTTTATAACAATGAAGATATCATTAGAAAAAAGCAGAGGTAGTAGTCAGAGGTGAGTAGATTTTTGTATTTTTTTTACCAAAACTTGCTCGGTTTGTTCTAATACATTCCATTTTTCTAAAGATTATGGGTTGTTCTCTCTTAAATGTTAATGAAATGGAAAAGCTAAGCATGTAAGACAACATATCTGTGGCTTGCAATGATTCTTGACAAGATGAGAAAGAAACCTAGGCTCACCTTTTCACTCCTCTTCTTGAGCAGAGCATCAGCTGTTGTCGCTGAGAAAATCTGCATCCCAAAACCATGTCCAGCTGCTTTTGTATAATCACCTGCCTTGCAAAGCTTACGTTTCAGAATATGATGTTTTCCACATGAATGATGAATTATTAATGCTTTAACCTTCTCAGCCAGAGGCCCTACAAGCTTCTGTATTGCAGAAACGCTTTGTTCCAGTCCATCCAGTCTTTTAACTTGCTGCTCTGCATTCCTGTTTATATCAGAAAGAGATTTCTTCATCTTAAGGCAAAGCCTCTTCATTTGATTATTTCTCAGATTTTTGCTTCTTTCCATTTTCAATCCAGGCTCAGATGTCTCTGCTTTTACAATCTCGATATCTTTTTCAATGCAATAGATTTCTTGGGAAACGCTGTTCAGTTTCTTAAGCACATTGTCTTGCAGCATCAACAGCTTATCTATTTTCTGTTCAAGGAAGGCAAACTTCATATCCATGACGTTAAAACTTTCAGTGCTGACATCACTGCTTACAACACGACGAATCTGCGGGGGCTCCATTGTATTATCAGACCTCTGGCTTTGCAAAGCATTTGGATCAAACATTTTTGCCACGTTGTTGACCATAGATGTAGAAGAGCTTTGCCTGCTGGATGTGGTCATTTTGCAAGTTTAGGCTGGGGGAGGAAACGCTCTGATGCTCAGCTGCTGAGGACGGTATCAGTTGCAAAGGCTTCCCATCCAGACTGCACTGGTATACAGCCTACTTTATTGACTCCAACTCAACTAATTAAGTAACTACTCTTCCACATTTGACTAAAACAGAGGAAAGAGATACCCAAATTACTTAGGAAGAAAAGCGCCTTGAATCCATTAATAATATATATGCATATATCTGTTTCCAAATGAAGCAAATAGAGAGATGAGCATCCTAAATGCACTCGGTTCAGTGACATCAGCCCTAGCAGGGACAGAACTATTTGCACTCCAAGGGAATTTGTCAGCAAAAACGCTACATGATACATGAGAAGTCGAGACACTTTGGCAGTAGTGCTGCTGCTTTCCAGAAGCCTAATATGTAATGTGATCCTTGCTCTGAAGAGAATAAGGGCCCTGTAAGGGCCCTTAAGCATGGCTGCTTGAAATTGCTACGTCTTAAGGTGAGATTTTCAGATGAAAGCCTCTATTGCTTGAGAAGCATCTTATGCCAGCAGGAAGTTGATGGAGTTGTTAAAAACAAATACACTGAGGAAAGTAAAAGAAGGAGATGCTGAATGGAGATTTGGGGAAAAAAAATAAAAAGTAAAAATGAGAGCCCTATTCTCTGCTTAATATTTCAGCTACAACGTATCTAGCTCTCTACACAAAAGCAATTCCCTTCACATCCAAAATCTCAATTCATATCTGTATTTACTGAGGCTATACTAACTTGCTACAAATTAAGGGGCTCTTACATTTTATTGTGATCTGTCATCCAAAATTCCAAAAATTGATAGACTTTCTTTACTTTGCCTGTCAGAACATGTCATAAAAACAGTGATTAATATTAATAACTCAGACAGTCTGCTTAATTTTTGCAGAAGACTTTCATTCTTTTCAGAAGGACAAGATTGGACAAAGAAGAATCAGCCTGAATAGGAATAGGATGAGTCTGAATTGCTGGACACTTCTCATGTTAGTTAGAAAAATAAAAGCAGATTTTAAGAAGTAAATATTAGAACCAGAGCTTTTTTTCAAGTCAATCATATTCCACGTGAGCTAAAAGCACATCGGTATGGATCACTCTGATGGAAAAAGGGTGCTTTTGAGATACAAGGAAAAGACTGCCTCAGACAGGTGGCTGTCATAGACTGACCACACATAGCACAGTCTGCACTTGTGCAGAATCTCACAGAATGCAACAGGTAAAGTCAGCTGTTGGAAAACAGGCAGACTGTAGCCCTGCTCAAAGGAACAAGAGCTTCTTTTGTGTGCTCCTGCGAACCAGGAGAAACCAGCCTCAGTTTATCCATCCTTTTAATGGCGAGTGTGAGGGATAACTTGCTAAAGCATGCAGTGAGTTCTGAATATCTAGAGCACTGAATATTCTGTAAAGATTGGTTCTGTTCACAAACTGAAGGATATGAAAGATCTCCTTATTTCTGGGTGCCTTTTACAGTCAAACACAGCTGACGTTTTAAAAAGTATTTTCTCACAGTCATTTATGAATCAGTATACAGCCAGTGTTGATAAGCTAATTCAGCAGCTTGTTCTCAGGTTACCACAGGTTAATAAAGGAAAGAAGTTCCTAGGCACATTTGTCACCTACTGGGAGCAGCGTGTTACTGTGACTGAAAGGTGAACTGTGTCCATGCATGACGCTGAAGCGTGGAACAAAATCTCTTCTTTACATAACAGACATTACCAAGAGGTGACCACCACGTGTCATTGTGCGTAGCACGTTCTCTGAGCGGACCGAGAAGGTTAAATGATTTTAAAATAGGAAGCAGGACAGGAGGGAAGAAAACGACAGGGAATTTAGGGATCCCTATTTCATGGGAAGAATAATATACTGAGCAGCAGTTAAAAAATGAAGAAGATTGAAGCAAAGAAAATCATGGAGGCTCCTGCAGAGAGCAGTTATGTTTAAATCCCTTTGCCTTTTTCCGTTCATCCCTGTTAGAAAGATAAACTAAACCCTCCTGACAGTTTCACATCTGCAGAAGCCTGTTAGACACAGAATTCCAGGAGAGGTGTTTGCATGCCTGTAAAATGGCCAGGTTTGCAGAGCCGTTTATCTTGTGTGAAGTGCCAGCTCAGAAGCTCACTGGGAGCTTCCTCCGACCCCCACTGCCCTGCACAAGCACGAGGTTAAAGGTTTGTTGTGCCTTGCCACCCAGTTAGGGCTCCTGCTCAGGGGGTTTCATAGGGAAAGCCTGTCAGCTGCAGGGATCCTCTCCAAAAGGAACATTATGTTGTAACAGCAAGGAAATGATAAAAAAAAAAGGACACGTGGATAGTAATGGCAAATTCATGTGTTATATTACTGCGCACAGCCACATATGTTAAACATTTAAATCTCTTCTAACAGCTGCCCAGGGAAATGTTATGTGAAATACCTCAAACCAATACTATAAATACTAATAAAAATGTTAAGGTCTGTGAGGCAAAATCCTATTATCAGATATCTTCAGTGAAGTCCTATTGATTTTATATTGTGCCACAACATGAAAAAATGCCAGGCACTTTTCAAATGTAGAAAACCAGCTATGAAAATGCTTCACTACAAGCCTATCTGTATGTGTTAGCTCTGTCTGAAGCTGACATGAGTTAGGAGAGAGTACTGCTGTGTGGAGGTTAGAAGAGCAACAAAAAGAAATTTAACAGCAGTTTTCTTCCTGGGTCCAGGGAGGTGTTGCCAGTTAAGTTCTTCAGAACTAGGAAGCTGATTGCTGCCTCTTGCCCTGCAAACTGGAAATACTCTTTCATGTTCAGATATCTTTCAGTGAGAGTCAGTTATTTCAGGTAATGACTGCTATAAAAACTAGTATTATTTACAGGATTTGCACATTTCTTTCTTTGCAGTGTGCATCATTACCACAATTACGTGGTAAATCTACGTGATAAAATTTAATAACATGTAATAACAGTATACATGAATAATCTGAGATATTTTAACAGCTGAATACCTGAATGTTTTTCCCAATAATTTAAATAATCTCTTATTGACTACATATATATGGTTATGAAATAAACCTGTAAAACAGCTATTTTTTTCTCCTCTTACAAGTTTTAGCGATGACTGAGTTTACTATAGCGGTTTCTTCCTATTTTTCTTATGTTCCCATACTACCCATGGCCTGCTTCATTAATGAGCTTTGAGTTCACTGACTACATTCAGTTCTCACTTAGCCCCAGAAAAATACTTCTGTCACATTTCTATTCTTGTTATTCTAAACAGTCCGTGTAAACCAACCCAAAACTACCCTCCAAGCCAGAACACTGGATGTAGAATTGCAACAGCAGTTCCCGTGATGCCTACAGAGGAGGATGGTTTTATCCCTGCTACATCTGGTGCCAGATTTCAGGATCATTGGTTTGATGGTTGGAAAGCCTGTTGAATGATTCTGAGTTCTGAAGTTCCTCAGTTCTCTCTTCTGAGGCAAAAAAAGTGATACCAGCTTGACTGGATGGTATTTCCTCATCCATGCCATTCTTCCTCAGCTCTCAGTATCACTGTGATAACAGTCAATCATTTGAATTTGCACAGCACCAAAATGGCAAAAATGGCTGTAGGAGATTAAGGGCACAAACTGCAGTAACTGTAACCCTTCTTGAATGGGAATCAAAAAAGTATACGTCTAAAATTCAAATGAAAAAGCAAAAGGAATAGCAGTGGATAAGTGACAGCTCCAGTGACTTTCATATTTTTAACATCTCTACAGACATGACACAAGTCTGCAAGACATGAGATAAAACTTCATGTGTAGCATCAGCTTTACATTTGTCAACAAGAGAAATAGGTAGGTTCCATTTCAGCCATTTGACTCATAAAGGGGTTAAAGGTGAAGACCGGGCAGGCTAGAGAAATAAAAAGTCTCCCTTCTGCTTTCTCTCTTGAACTCACACCGTGGTCAGTGTTATTTTCTCTGTACACATGAATATGAAAAATCTGGCTAGCATTAGGAAATTATCACAGACAAGCCAGTTTGCTTCCCCAGCTCTGTTAGCTTTGTGCTTCTGAATCACAAGCCTCAGGCTCAGAGGTGCCCAGACCAAGCTTTTAGCAGGCTCTGATCTTTTTGATTGGATATCAGTCTCACAGGCGTAAGAGCAACACAGCTTCAGAAAAATATCCTGCTAGTCCAGAACACCCAATCTAATCAGCAAGAAGAGCTAATACTTGCTTTTAAACATATATTTCATATGTGATAATTTATCTGTGCAAATAAAGCCTGATAACTGCTTTCTGCTTAAAAGACTTGTACTCTTGATTTTCACCAGCTCTTGGTCCTCTGACCATTCTGCTGAGAAGCTAACTGCTCTGCCTTACCTTTTCTTCTATCAGACTCGCATCATAAAGAGTTTTCCTCCCCAATCCCATTTTTAACCTGACTTCAGTTTAGCTCAGTTCAGCTCAGTTCTTCATAACTGTTAAAGGCCCAGACAGAGCACCTCGTAAATTTATGGTTGCTGGCATCAACCATTATAATAAACAAGAGCACAAGTGGAAATGTTTGAGTCAAATTCCAACTTTTTGGGCTCCAAGCTGTGTGCCAGGATATGTTATACTGAACTTTATCTGGAGAGCACAGTACCATGCTCATCAACTGTAAGCTGTTCTAGACAATGTACCTCCTGAACTCCCATGTCTGGGTTGATATTTTACTACTGCAGAAGCTTGGAATGTCTCTCCTCTGCTCTTTCTTCATAAATAAAATGTAGATCCCTGCCATTCAGGAGTTTGCAGCACCTGTGTGATGCACGCTCCCCATTCCAACCATTGCTCGCTCCTAAGTATAAGCAAAATGTGTTTTTCTGACATTCCCACACCTATGTCTGAGCAAGAATCAGGCTTGCATGGGGTATATGTTAAGGAAAAAGAAACATGAACAACTAGCCCTGGCTTACAAGTGCTAATTTAGACCATGCCATCATGACCTGTTGTATGGGAACGGCTGAGTCATGGCTGAGGAACGGCTGAACCTCTGATTGATCACCTGAGGCGAGCCATGAGTCAGCCAGAGGAGCACAGGTGAAGGCAATTCAGCTGTGCTGCTGGAAGGGGGGGAGCCAGGCTGCAGCCCTCCTAGACCTATTTAAGAGCTGGCTACCAGTAGGCAAGGATCTCCTCTGGAGATGTTTTGCAAATAAGCAAAGGCAAATCTTTTTATGGAACTCTGATCAAGGGAGATGCAAGTTCTATTCCCAGATTGGCCATGGGGATGTACATTTTATGGCTGGACTAAGCCATAGGATTTAGCAGAGCAGT